CTTACCTCCTAAAGATTATGAGGAAAGTCATCTTAAAATTACGTCGTTTCAATAATTTTTTATTGAAAAAGATTAAACTATCATATTTTTAAAGCATGTATTGATGTGATATTTGTCATTTTTCCTCCTAATTTTTGAGAGGTAAAGCGGACAAACACTAACCCCAATATATATATATATAAAAAGGGTACAAATCGGTCATTTAAGAAAGAGGAATGGCAAAATTGGAAAATCAAACTTGATTAGGGTTTATCGGCGAGCAATAAATAGTGACAGAGAAGTTGGGGTATTCGGTGCGCCTTAGGCCGAGCGCTTCCCTCGCAAATGAAGGGGTGGCGTGGTATTCCACGGAGAGGGGTTCTTTACACATTGTGGCGCACTTTGGTGCGATGGGCGTACAGTACCAGGGACGCCATGGCCGCTTTGCTGCTCTAGTTCTTGCAGCCAAAGCGAGGGGATGTCCCTACATTTCAATTATTCGATTTTCTTTGCTCTTTTTTCATCAATTTCTTCTTTTTATCTTTTATTTGATAAATCCTTGATGGGGTTTTTATAGTTCTTGCAATTTGTTTCCCCTTGCTTATTTTTCAATAATTTTCCAGGTTTTTTGTGATTCCAGCAAATGGGAACCGATAGAGTTCCCAATTTTTTGTAGTGTTTCTTTTTTCATGAATTTTTCTAGAATTAAAATTCAGGGAACATTACAGATCAAGAATATTTTCTCATCATTTTCATTGTATCGAGCGCTCTTTTTTTTTTTTTTTTTGTATTGATACAATGAATTTTGAGCAAAATATACAAGCTAATGGAGAAGTTCAAAACTTGAATTTATGCCTCTGCTGTAGAGATTTTATGGATTTTTTGGGCCCTCGTAGCCTCCTTTGCATCATAGTTCTGCCAAAAGAAGGCCTTAGTTTCTTATTTATGATTCACACAAGGAAAATGGAATGTTGAAAGGTAGAATTTTTGGTATCAGAATTGAGTTTTTAGTACCTGTGTCGTCAAACCTTGATCTCCTACGGATATGGTTCTCATTTCTTTGTAAGAGTTGGTCTATGTTGTCGAGTTGAGATATCAATGGTCCTGAAAATTCAATTTTCCTCTGACAGAACCGTATCAACATTAGTATTGGGAGAGCAACAAGAAAGGAGTTCACGCGAAAACAATCTGGTCTGGATTGTGTGCTTACCGGTGCAGCTTGGTCTGGATGAAGTTGGAATGAACGGTGGCGAGAATGGTGTGCTTTCCTCACATTAAAATCTGGTCGATCAAGTTTGTTTTCTTGCTGCTCGGATGCAGGAAAAGAATCCTGTTCTTCAAGATCGAATTGTTTTTGAATCATTCTAATTACTGGACTTGTGACCTCAAGATCGCCTTCTTTTTTTAGGCTAAAGGGATTGTTCGAAAATGGGAAACTTGTTGAGTCTACTGCACTAATTTGGCTCGTTGAGCTCGGTGGATTGTAAGACAATGTAGACTTGGAATCTCTTTGCTTCTTTGCCCATGCAAAGTTGCTTGATTTTGTGACTTCCGGTGGGCCTGTGAATACATCCCCTTGAGATATGGCTGTAGCTTGGGACGTATCTGACATTGTATCTGATGATGGATACGGGTACCCTGCATGAACAGCGCCTTTCTTTATCTTGAGAATGAGATTGCTCTGCCGGCCACAGCCTGGCATTTCCTGTTTCTGTGCTGTGTTACTAAAAGTGCTGTTTTCTTGCAAGGTTTTGCATAGTTTCTTCTGTTTCCTAGTTGCTCCTGAATCTCGCAATTTAGCCCCAATCTTTGTCCTGTGAACATCATTATCATAGCCTTTCATCTTTTAAAATTCATTAGCTTAGTACCTAACTCTCGAACATAAAGAGAAAAAACTGGTACAGTGTCTGTTTATTATTAGGACATCTACTTTCTTGAGAAATAAGAAATGAATAGTGTTACCTTCTTAATTCATCTCGTTGCTTTGCATCCATTTCTTTGTTAGGTGGATACTTTGGCAAACTTGATGGATCACAGGCGTAGGGTTTCGTGTGGAAATACTGGAAAAGCAATAAGAGATCATATGGCAACACTCAGAGCAGTAGTGATGTGTACTGGTAAAGAGTCAGTGGGTAGGAAAATATGAAAAAGTTGTAGCAATCTAAATATGCCCCTAGTTTTTACTCTGGATCAAATTTTTGTTAGGGGTTACCTTAGACATTAGGGCAGAGGAGGCAGTCCCTCGTTCATGTGGTTCAATGGAAAGAAGAGTTTCCAATAAATCAATTGCAGTTTCGGGTACATTTCTACACCTTTCACGAAGACAACTTTGGTATGGATGTTGAGGTCTGAACATGGGTGAATGAGGAAGCTTAATCTTTTTCCAGTAATCGTCTGGTGGTGACCCGCAAAGCTTGAAGATTTTGTGCAATTGCTCAACCTGAAAATGCTTGAAGTATTCAGAAGATAGAACAGAATATGCCATTTCCATCTTAAAAGGAATTCTGAAGCATATGGTGTGATGTAATAACCAACCTCTGTTCTGCCTGTAAGGAGAGGCTTTCCCATAAGAAGCTCAGCAAAGACGCATCCCACGCTCCATAGATCAACAGAGACTTCATAACTTGTCGAGCCCATCAGAAGTTCAGGAGGACGATACCATAGAGTTACCACACGACTCGTTAATTGATGTCTGTTCTTTGAGGTAATGATGTTTGCCAATCCAAAATCTGCCATTTTCAAAATTCCTTGATTGCTTACCAAAATGTTTGATGTCTTAATATCCCGGTGCATTACACCCCTCAGGTGGCAATGCTCAAGTCCACATAGCAGCTGCTTCATGTAACACTTAACCTATATACAAAAGGCAATCTAAACTGACCTTAAGCATGAAAGAAGAAAGAAAGATTGAAGAAACAGATGAAATGCCACAATATGAACCTGTTCTTCACTGAACTTGATATAGGGACAAGAGCTTAGCCCGGCAAGATCGTGATCCATGTATTCAAACACTAGGTAAAGGGAGCTTGAAATTGGAGAGGTGATTATCCCCTCAAGTTTCATGACATTTGGATGATCAAGCCTTCGGAGAATCATTATTTCCCGAGCCATAAACCTAATGCTTTCTGGTTTAAAGTTGTCAAAGTGAACCTTCTTCAAGGCAACCATTTTCCCAGTTTCAACTTCTCGTGCCTGGAACACACTGCTGTATGTACCTTGTCCAATCTACATACATGTTGTAAACAATTCTTGTCAGAATCGTCTAATTGTTGAAACAAAAATGTGTTTTCGAGGCAAAACAAAGACGCTTGGATAAGGAGCGGACTCTCCTCATCCAAGGACCAAGGTCCTGTCCAAATTGTAAAACAATGGACTTTACTTGAAATAATCAAATCATTCCTTGTAATAAGATCATGGTCACGGGATTCAAAATCAATATTTATGAAACAATTTGTAATAATTTAACCCGAAGGAAACATTTTAAAAATATTTTCTACCTTCTCCAATTTCTCATAAGCATCAGCGCGGAGAGGCACCCACCCATGTACTGCTTCACCGGCAGCGGCACTAAGACAAGCGGGCCACCCGGCAGCCACCTGTTCAGCCTCCACGATCCTCCGTGAAAGGCCTAATTTAATGCTGAAAGCGTCATTCTTCCCCGAACTCCCCTTCCTGGATCTCCTCAACTCAGAGCTACGCTTTCCGTAAGCATGATTGCTACCCTCCAATCTCTCGTTGTCTCTTGCATTCTCCAATTGGCGTTTGGACGACGAGCTGGGAAATGTCAAACGGGTGCCATTCTCGGTGGTGCCCGATGCAGGGCAGTCCACAACAGGGGAGAACGCCGCCACGGAACCGCCATGTTTGGAGTTGAAGCAACCCATGGACCTGCAAAAACCCGAGACCAATCTCACCCAGATTGAGGAACAGGGATCTGGATCGTATATGGGGACTCACATCAGATCGGATGAGCATGCATTTTAGCCATGAAAAAAAGAAACAGAGAAGACGTTGTTCTCTGTTTTCTGTCTGGTTTTGTCCGAATCCGAGACATACGGAGAGAATAGGAAGAAAGCGGAGGGAAAAATGGAAAAAAGGGGGGGATTAGTGGGTCCATGACGGCACATCTTTTGTTAAGTTTTCTTGTTTTTGCAAAGGGAGAAATATCATTGTAAGTTGTAACTGTTTGAAAAGAAACCATTCGCCCCCTCTCCTGTTTGGTTAACGTAGACCAACTGCCCCAACAGCCTTCACATGAACCCGTGTTTAAGCAAATCAGAAAGGATTAAAATTCATCATTGCTTAATTAATTCTTTATTATTGTATTAAAGTCTGTTTAGGGCAATGTCTTGGATTTCTATGTACCATTGTTTACTCTTCATTCTTCCTTCCCAATAAACAAAAGGGAAAAGTAATACACATAGAGAATGATAAAGAAATAACTAGAAATTATTATGCAATCTGGATTACAAAACAACAGGCCCAAAAGATTAATATAACCATAATCCCACAAGAAGGTGTTTTAATGGATTGGTCCATCTACAGGCTAATGTGGTTACCCAGCTTTCATGAACCGAATAATCAGCTACACACTTTAAAAGCTGCTGTCATGTAGTATCCTGGTGCGTGAACAAACATCTTAGTCTGTTACCCTGTCAGGGAAGGTGACAATAATATACAACATCTCTTATGGATTTGAAGATACAAAAGTAGTTGGAAGTTGATATCGCCTTTTGGTTAATGACATTACATGCAGCAGCAACTTTCGATGAAGGTTCTGCATCCATTATTTGCATGATCTCCTTAAGGCTTGCATTTTCTCAGTTTCGTAACACTGTTAGTACCTTGAGTAAGCTGCTGCTTCTTCATTTGATTGCTTGACGGATTTCAGGGAAGCACTTGAGAATTCAGACTCTTACTTGCTCTTCTTTGAGCTGAAGGAGAATTGGTCTTTGGTTGTTACCAAAATCCCCTTCTTTAAGTATGGGCTCGGTGACCACTTTGTCTGGTTTTAACTGCATTGCACTGCTGTTAGCAATGTTGTGGCTGCTGTTTCTGGCTGCTGGGACATCGTGATTATGTTTTCCCTCATATGTAGTTATCACAGCTTTCGGATCTGTTGAAGCTCTCTCAACATGCTTCCGAACGTTGCATCCTGCACTTGTGCATTTATAATAACTCCTGTTTGTAAAAAGAATTAGATGTAAAAAATTCAGGTGAGATGCTCAAAAGAGGTAACAACTCATGGCTCAAATGCTGGTAGTATTTAAGAAGCAAAGACAAAGATGAATCTGATGGCATTAGAATCTCATTCACAAAATATAAAAGCTGAAGTAATTTGGTGATGAAGGTATGCAAACAGAAAATAGAGGCAAAAGCACCAATCAACAGAAAATAGACAAGAAAGGACATGTTGTACACATCAGAGAAGTATCTGCAATCACCAGATGATTCACTGATAAGGATAGCATTCGTTTACTGATTGTTGTAGACTCCCTGATGAAATGGTGTTAGTTATGACAAGGGATCCTTTGACTGTACCAAACCCACTTAATTTTGCAACAGATGCAAGCAAAAAAGACATTGTGATCATTAACACAAACTTAACTTTCTAAGAGGCCAAGAAACAACAGGTCAAAAATAAATGAAGGATACTTCCTTGATACAAGGCTTATAGAATTCAGTGAGGATGGAGATAGCGAAACTCGATACATAACAGTTAACACATGAAACAACAAGAAATTAACAGAATCCACCAGCATGATTTAATAATTAGAACAATACACAAACATATAGCTAAACACTACCTCGGATGAGGGTTCCCTTTGACCACTTTCTGGCCATATTTGCGCCACCTGTATCCATCATCTAAAAGATCAACTTCACTTCTTGTTTGCACAATGATTTTTGGTTCTGTGACCGTTTTATGTGACGGTGGTACTGCTGTTTCTCCAGCAGTGTTCCTGCAGTGGAAAGAAGGTTGCTCTTAAAATTAGTCAATATGATAAAAAAAGGACCTGCTCAATCAGCTTCTATTGCATATCACACTTGCCTTCTTTTTGGGTTTGGCTCATCATCATTTCTTTCTCTGATGTCTTCATCACCTACCTCCTCACTGTCACTTGAGCCAGGTAACTCTGCAGTAGATTCCAGATTTTTCGTATGAACTGAATGAGTGGGTAGGTTTCCACCTAAGTTGCTCAAATTCCCAGCCAGACCATCTGAATCAACCTTAGGCTTAGCCTGGGAGTTTGCATTTCCATTTATTTCACTAGCACCTTTTGCTTGTCTACTTGGCTGAGGCATTTCATGGTTGTGCTGTCCTTTGTAGATAATCTCAGTTATTTGACCATCAGCTGATCGCTCAACCTTCTTTTTGACAGGGCAGTTCAAATATGTGCACTTGTAGTAGCTTCGGGGATACTCACAGCCTTTAATTGGCTTCTGCCCATACTTACGCCAGTTATAGCCATCATCAGTAGGCTTATCCACAGGAAGTGAAGAAGGTTGGCTTTTCCTATCAGATTGAGAGGCCTCTGAAGATTCTATCATAGAGTTTTGAAGGTTGGAGGTTGAAGTAGGCATCTGCTGTGAAGCTTCATCAGGATTTAAGGACGGATTACGTGTTAGTGACTCTGAAGGACCTACCACTGATAAAGGTTGATAATCTGCTTGCACTCGCATTTGAGACTGCGCAAGAGCAGCTTGAGCTGTAACATGTGCCAATGCTTGCTGATGGGATATTCCAAAAGGGCTCTGCACAAATTATTAGCAAAAATGTTTGAATATGGGATTTGTGTACTCAATCTAGCTATTCAAGTAACATGGCAGGTACATGCTCGAACATTACAATAAACTTCATATTATATTGACATATCAATAGGTATTAAGTACTACCAAAGACTAAACTTTCCATATAAGATGCGTTGATCTAAGAAGCCTAAATGGAAGACCAAAGTGTCAACGACAGAAAATATATAAACCACCAAACCTTTATTATACAACTCGAATACGCATTTAGACAAGACATTAAATCAGTATTTCACCAAATTTTGTTTTGTTAATTAGCAATGACATTTTTCAGAATTTCCAGCCACCAGATCTATAAACTAGTTTTCTGTGAAAGAGAATTCACCATTGTGAACTGTTTAAATCTTAAACAAGACAAAAGGGTCTTCTAATTGGATGCAGGCAAAAACTCAAAGTAGAAAGGAATAGGAGTTACACATCCTAAAATAAACCTCTGCACATCCTAAGAATTCTGCCCAATTTCATTTCTTAGCCAAAAGAACCCAAAACAAATCAGAAAAACTTCATAAAGTCGAATCTTTTTCCGATAATTGACTTGCCCTCCCACCCAAAATCACGAACCTCAAAAGGGTTATCAACAAGTATTGGCTTGCAATTACCAACATCAGTAAGCCGATTTACCTGAGGTGACAGAGGGAAGAACCCAGGTGAGTTAAGCAGACCTGAAGGGCTCAACCCAGGAGGCACCGTGAATAATGGAGACCTAGCCACCACCAAATTCAACGGCTTACTCTGCTTAAAGCCAGAATCTTTCTCACCTCCATCCACCAACGAATTAACCGTCGAAACGTTCACAGAAAACGCCGTTCCAGGCACCGGTGAGACCATGGCGCCCGCCAGGAGCTGAGAGAAGGACCGGTAGTCTGCTCCATCAGGGTAGTTGTCAGAGAACAAATTGGACACGAGTGTCATAGGTCCCGGACTAATCCCCAACCCACCAAGAAAAAAGGTATCCATAGCCGGTCTTGGAGGAAGAGTTATCGTGGGGCGCGCCGCCGCCGCCCCAGCAAGCTTTGAGTTCATTTTGCCAGGCTCTGCTTCCTTATCTGCCATTGTTGATGTCTGAAATCCCGTCTCCTCTGTCTCTCCTCGGTTCCTCTTCCGAAATCTTTGCGTTTATATTTGGGTTCTGTGAGTCTTGTTTATGGGTTTTGTAACTTCTTCAGAAAATCGGTTGGTTTTCTTTTCTCTCTTTTTGACAGTTTCGTGCCATCTCTAACTTCAGTGAAAGTCTACGGAGCAGAAAAAATGGAAAACGATGTTTCTTTTTTTAATTATTATTTATTTTTTCTCATTTCTTCAATGTAATTTTTTTATCCAATTAAATTTATTTATTTTTTAATAATATAAAAAATAATAATAATTTTTATATTTTTATATAAACTTTTAATCAAAAAATATGCTTAACTTATGTACTGAAAATTTCTTTTTCTTTTCTGGGTTAATCAATTTTTTAATCAAACCCAATAATAAAAGGTAAGTATACAAATTTTTGCATTTTTTAATATTTTTTTCTCATATACTATATTTTTAAAATTGTCAATTTTGATAATCAAGTATCTTTAAATGTTTGATTAAAAAATTAATTTAAATCTTATGCAAGTCTATTAATCGAAAAAAATAATAATAATAAGGCAGAATTTCTAAACCCCTGTTTGAAAATTGCAATTTGGTAAGCAGCTCAGAAGTAAAATTCAAAATGCAGCGAAGAAAAAACGTCGCTCTCCAATTGGACTCCAATGCCCCTACCAGACCGGCATTTATACAACAAAAAGAGGATGGGGTTCCACGTATACAACTAACCGAAAAAAAAAAAGCTAAAATAAAATTCGAACGTCTGCTAAGGGCATTGGGGCCTCTTTATGGCCAATTTAAAAAGGGTGATGTTATAGGTGTAATACAAGTAAAGTCACTTTTTTTATAATTAATTGATTTTAAATTAGATGTAAATTTTATATTAAGGTTATATATATAATTTTTATATGGTATCAAAACTTAGATTCTGTCTTGAGTGAGGACTTTATTGTTAGCTTACTTGATAGAATCTGAAAGTGATATTGAGCATGTATGTAAAGAGAGCATGTTAAGTCACGTAACAAAACTCAACATTCATAATGAATTTGCACATAAGGAAACATGAAATATAAATAAGGTCACTCTACTTATAACCAACTGATTTTAAGTTGGATATAAGTTTGGTATTAAGGTTATATGCATAACTTTCAAAATAGGGATAATCTTTTTATTTTATTTTTTATATAATTTTTATATATTATTAAATAAATAAATACACCTAATATCATAAATCTCACGTGTGAATTAAAAAATTAATTATTTTAATAACACATGTTGTATAAAAAAATATGATAAAAAAATTAACAAAAAAGTAAGACAAAAAAATAATACAAATTACAAAAAATCATTTCCCATTTTAAGAGGACCAACTGGACCGGATCGAGTAAAGGAACAGTTGAGGTTGGAGGACTTCCTCAACAGTGATTGGGCCATGTCATCTGTTCCTGCCAGGGCCAATCTATAACATTATCCATATCTCAGGGAAATTGGGAGATAATTCACTGACAGCAACCCGTGGTCGGCTTTATTTATTGCCGTCTGCTGAG